CCGGTAGGAGTTCAGCAAACGCAAAAGGAAGTAACCGTTGCATAAACACATGACAATCATGACTTTTCATCCCTGAAAACTTTTGTCCCTTATCCACAGATTTAGCCAGATTAGATACATATCCATCAGGAAATTTCACGGCTGATGATACCCAATTAAACAATACTGTTTTTTGTTCAGCATCCAACCGAAATACAGGAACAGGTGCTTTCCCATTACTCACCATATGCAACTCAATTCTGTTACATATATCGGGTAAGTCCATCCGTGATTTAACACTGTCTTTGGTTCTTCCTTGGACGTTCAAAACAGTATGCATGATGTTATCGAAAAAATTCTTCTCAATGTGCATAACATCAAGATTATGTCTAAGCAAATGATCTTTCCAGTAAGGCAGATCCCAAAATATACTTTTCTTGTGCCAATTGTGATGAACCCCATATCCTTCAGGCATATTCGCAGGAGTGTGCCAATTTCCTCCAAGGGGGGCTGTTTCAAGTCCACCCCAATGATCTATTTGCGCTTCAAGCTCTACTCCAGTTAGGTACACTGGTGGAGGGAGACGAACCAATTTGTTCTTTATAAACAAACGCCTATTTCTTCTATATTGATGGTTTGGTGGTAAAAACCGATGGTGGCAATCAAACCAACAGGTTTTCCTACCATGTTTAAGCTGAAATGCATCAGTCCTATGAAGACAATAAGGACATGATAACCTCCCATGGGTTGTCCAACCTGATAGCATTATGTATGCCGGGAAATCGCTTATTGTCCACATAAGCACCGCTCGCATCGTAAAATTTTTACCACTCGAACAGTCATATGTTCGTACTCCAACATGCCACAACTGGTTTAACTCATGTATGAGTGGTTGTAAAAACACATCAAGGGGCCGCTTCGGGTGATTTGGACCAGGGACTAATATACTTAGAAACAAAAACTCTCTTTGCATGCACATATCTGGAGGAAGGTTATATGGCGTAAGAATCACAGGCCATAATGAATATTGCCTACCAGACATACCAAATGGACTAAACCGTCAGTGCGAAGACCAAGATAAACATTTCGCTTAGACCTAGCAAAGTCTGGATGTACGGTGTTAAAATGTTTCCAAGATTTCCCGTCAGACGGGTGAGTCATTTTGCCATTTGTTTGTGAATGTTCCGCATGCCATCTCATCGACGCAGCTGTCCGTTCAGATTGATATAGTCTTTTTAACCTATCAGTGATAGGAAGATACCACATTCGTTGGTAAGGAATCTTCTTACGTCCAGCAATTTGCGGTCTATATCTTGGCTTTTGGCAGAAACGACATTCTTCAAGCTTCTCATCATCTCTCCAAAAAAGCATACAATTATCAACACAAACATCAATCATCTCAGAAGGCAATCCAAGACTAAAAACCAGCTTCTGAATTTCATAATACGTTTCAGCAGCCAAATTATCATCTGGCAAATACTCTTTAATAAGATCTGCCCAATCGTTCATGCAAACTTCAGATAGATTGTGATCAGTTTTTATTGTCATCATCCGAGCTGCCAATGATAATTTTGATAAACCTTCCCTACATCCCTCGTACAGAGGCTGTTTTGCTGCGTTTAACATATCATAAAAGCGTTTCGCATCTGCATTGGGCTCCTCAACAGTATCAGCATGTGTTTCATGAAATGCATCAGTAACCATTTCATGCATCCTATCATGATCTTCACCCTGAACTTGACTACTTTGATAATCATTGGACGCTTCAAAATCCACATGTTCTTGATGATTACTACTACTCCGTGCAGCCATCTGACCACTACTTTGACCATATCCCTCTCCATGCTGATACCAAATAAAGTATTGGGGCATGAACCCTCTATTCAATAAATGCTGCCAGACAGTGTCAATAGGAATATGTTTCCTATTTTTGCATTTCACACAAGGACAATACATTTTGCCGCTTTCAATTATAGTTTGCATAAGGTCGGCTTGGTACATGAATATTTCCAATCCGTTTTTGAAGTCTTCAGTCAACGACCCATCACCATTTTTGGGCGTATACATCCACTTTCGTAGATCGTATATAGACATTTCAAAAACAAATATTTGACTGTTTGTTTTTGAAATTTGATATAAATTTCAACTACTAAAAATTTTACTTAAACATTCAAAGACTCAAAAAATTTGTGTCTTTATATGTTTTTTTGGGTTGATGGAATAATGAGAGAAGAAAGGGTATATATTAAATTTTTTGTTTTGTTACCAACATATTACCATTGCATATTTACATCAAATTTACGTCGAAATAAAACTTACATCACATTTACATTGATTTTACGTCAATTACGAGATAGAGGACAATTAGTCGTATTATCGACGTAAATATTACGACTACATTACGACGAAATAAAATTCGTTCTTCATTCATCGTAATATCGTTACGACGATTTTACGAGGGTCATTTTTTACGTCGAATTTACGACGATTTTACGAGGGTCATTTTTTACGTCGAATTTACGACGAAATTTTTGATCGTCGTAAATACGACGTAATGTTGTCGTAAATTTACGACGACTAAAAATCGTCGTAAATAATTCGACGGAAAAGCCCCTCATTCTTGTAGTGATGTAACACAAATCCATTCTTCTTCTATTTTGTGGTTTTAAAACTGGTGCAAAATCAGTCACTTAAAATTTTTATTTAGAATTAGTTTATGGAACTTTTCTTTGCATCATACTCTGAACAATTATAGTTTGTCCATATAGAATAATTTGATTATGTTACATATTTGATAAAGATACATAAAAATAACGGTTGATGACAATTAAAAGACTACTACAGTTGATGATTATTACAATTAATGACCATTACAGACAAAATTGATAATCATTACACAAAAAGAGATCATGAGCAAACAGAAGATCAATTATTTACTTATTGGGTTCTGTTTTGTAAATGAGCTTAATTGTTGTGTTGGGCACTTGGGCCTGTTAGGACAAAACTCCCTACCCGTCTCGATGTCGATGGTGGAGAAAATGGACATGACAGTGACGAATTTTTGAGATTTGTGAGATACTGCAAATGAAAGAAGACAACTTAAGAAGTCTGCTTTCGAAATCAACTCAAGAAGTCTGCTTTCGGAGATGACAGTGATGAATTGTTGAGATTTGTGAGATACTGCAAATGAAAGGAGTAAAAATTAAACATCAACCCAAGTAACAAATCTAATAAAGAAGAGGAAGAGGAGGTTTCCGAGAAAGACATAATCACATATCTGATTACTAAACTAAATCAAATTAGTTCTGACACTCAGATCTTAGTACATTATGAATAAAAAAAAAAGTCAAAGTGGATCCCAATTAAATAAAACCAAAATTTCTGGACAAAACATCAGCTAATAAGTAAAAAGAAGAAACTTGAAAAAGCTAACAATTTGAACCAGACATCAAAGCCATACCCAGACAAAGCTGCACGGCTGTGAGGAAGTCGACGGTGGACCTCTTTTGTTGCTCACTATGTTGAGGTCACCTACAGTGAAGATCAAACAAACGTTTTCCTAAAAAAAAAAGCAGAGTATAATCTAAAGAGAGATTTCTAACCTGAAACAGCATAGAAAAAGACCTCGTGTACAGCTCGTTCGCAAGCAGATCTAAAAAAATTGATGTTCTCGTTGAATCTGAACCCACAGAAGCTGCTTGATTTGCCGTTGTTGAGTTGTTGAGACCGGATTGAAAGCGCTAAGTTACTCTCTGGTTACAAGGGAGGACACCAGATCTCTGAGCTTCGAAAAAAATCGTGAGAGAGGCGATGGAGGCCAGAGGAAAGCGCCGAATTAGAGAGTCTCTTTGAAAAAATTAGGGTTTTACGAGGATTCGTTGGTTTATATAGTAGGATAAAATTTCTGGTTAAAATAGATATTTTTGGTTTAATATGGGTTTAATTTCGGTTTAAATTTCGGTTAGGTTATTTTATTCGGTTTAGCAGACTTTAATATAGAAATCTACAACTTTTAAAACCTAAATAATAAATTTACTTCTACTTAATTTAAAAACATATATTTCCATTTAGCAATATGAAAAAATAATTTATGTACATTTGAGTTACGATTACGGAATTTATGAATGTAAATTTGATACCAAAATAATTTTTAAAAAATTTTAAAATTAAATTTACAGATTTAATTATTTAGTAGACTTCATTTCGATAAAATGAAGTCTACTATTAGACTTCTTTTTCACTTTAGTAGACTTCGTCAGGGTGTAAACGGTAATTAGGACATCCGTTTTTTGTTTACTCATATAGGTTTAAATGGTCTTTTCACTACCCCTTTAGGTTATTTCTGCTAAATGTTTTTTCAGGGGTCTACTTTTGTATTCAAAGTCAAGTTTTGGGTTATTTTTAGCAAAAACCCCGAAATATTAGGTGCAACCGAAGGTTGTTGTTGTTGTTATTGATTTTTGTATATGATTTTTATTTGTTTGGATTAAGAAACTCACAAGTAGTATTATTAGCAATAGAGTTTTTAATACTATTTTATATTCTTCTCGCATTTAGGATAAATGTTTTTCTTGACTTTGCATTCATTATGGAGCCATCTCATAATCCTTATCCCTAGTTGATGCACTTTCAAGGATTTCTTCATTTTGAATAAATTGGTATTATATTTGTAATTTATTATTTAGTTTGTCTATTTTATTATTATTTATCTGTAAGTTTATATTAATTAATATTGCTCATAATATTTTTCATATACTTTTTACAGTTATTTATCAAAGTTGTATGATCTTAGTTAATTATTATCAATACTGAAAACCAAAATAAAAAGTATAATATATTAAGATTTTATTTAAGGTTTATCATTAGAGAATTAGAGAGTATCACTTTCAAACCTCAAATTTGAGGTTTCTCACCCTTAAAATAGAGTGTCTTGGAGATGCTAATTTAGCAAAAACAAATAAAAACAAAAGCGATATATTGTAAAGTTATATATAAGGGTACATATATGGGAAATATTAGAATGTAGAAGTTAATTTTAACTTTATTAAGCACCTTTTATTTGTTTAACATAACCATAGAGTATTACACTGATAGACACTTTTAACGACTTCGATTCAGTTCATGGACCAAACTTGGCCTGAAGTTCTTTGACAATATTTGCATCCAACTGGAACGCCCTGGCTAGAACCTCTGGATAAATCGGAGGGTTTGACCCAAACACGGCGTTTGCGATTGTGATCACTCCAGGGTTCTGACTACTCAATCCAGCAAAAGCAACCGCAGGGACTTTTCCAATGTTTACCTGAAAATGAATCATTCCTATGGGGAACACAAACACGTCACCCGGGTGCAATACTTTGGCGAATAAACGGTTGTCGTCTTGGTTGGAAGAGACAAAACCAACGTATAATGTTCCTTCGATAAGGACAAGGATCTCTGTGCCACGAGGGTGCGTGTGAGGCGGGTTTTGACCATTTGGCGCATAGTCTATACGGACCAATGATATTCCCATAGTGTTTAGCCCTGGGATCTGGTCAACGTTAACTGTGGTCACATTGGAGCCGACTTGATTATCTGTGTTCCCAGGGACGTTGAGGCCTGAGAAGAAAAAATCTTTTGCAACGACTCGCCTTGGGTCTTTACAGAACCTACCGTTCACAAAAACTACATGCACGTAGAAATATAGTTTCAAATAGTATACATTATTACAACATCAAGGTCACAGAAATGTAGAGAAAATTTTAAGCCGGGGTTTATTTTCTTACCGCCATTTAGGTCATCAATGGCGACACAGAAGTCTTGGAGTGGACTTGGATCATAAGCATCGGCAAAGGATGTGACCAAAGCCAATATGATAGTATGGATGAGAGACTGAGAAACCCTCATTGTTTCAAACAGAAGGCTGTGGTAATGCTACTCACTAGATTGTTATAGACTTATAGGTGTGTTCTTTCTGAAGCATGGGACCATGGGTGCTTTAATATTTTATAGGACAAGAGCATAATTGTCATTTAACATCGTCCAAGATTATTTTATTTTTGGTTTTTTACTAGCAGGTCAAATTGTTTAATGGACTGTTAGTTACCGAAGAGCATCTAAAACAAGCATAGAGAACGGTTATTGGAACTCTTGGAAAACGATTGGCCAAATGCTGATGGGTAGATGTCAAAGAACGTAAGGCATAACGTTAGAAGAAAATTTATGTTTTCATTTATTTATGGAAAACGAAACCAGATTTTGCATAATATTTATGTAGGACGACCAAAGTGTCATAGGGAAAACTTAGGTAGTTACGTTGCAACTGATCAAAGAAGTGAATAAAAGGAACTTTAGTATAATTAGTAGTAGAGAATGAGCAGAACAAGCTATAAACAAACCGAGAGTAAAAAATTGGTGAAATAGTGATTTACATATTCTAATAACTAAAACGAAACAAACAAACAAAACAACTTATTTTTGGCACAATCTGCTCGGAGATTTGAGATTTTTGAGTTCTGATATTTTCAAGGATCATGACAAATTTAGCGCATCAATCAAGTAGTACACTCTTAGAAAATAGCTGAAACAAAAATACTTCACAACCTGTTTTGTACTATTGGCTATAATGTTTAATTTCCTTGGCTTTTTTTCGTCATTTTCCTGACTTTACATATAGATTCTGTAAGTTCTGGTTAATTATTAATTCATGATTTCGTGTGTTGCCTATTGCTTTCATCTTTACCGGTAGTTATAAATTTCTTAGTTGTAAATGCCAAGTCATTAATTGGCATCTATGATGTGAAATTGTCTTAAAGGTTTGATGTAATTAAAAATTAAAAAATATAGTTATTGGAATTGCAGTATTTTTCACGCTTATTGACATTTAAAATGTAATATTGTGCTTTACATAAAAGCATAAGATTAAATCAAATTAGGTAAATACACAGTTGATAATGACATGCAGTATTGTGATATGTACTAGTGTGAGGTTTTATAACTACTTTGATGACAATTCTGCAAATGTGTTATGTTTAATTCAGAAGTTTTAATGACTACGTAACACTTGAAATTTGAAAAACTAAAAAGATATGTATATATATATATATATATTATAAATTTACATGTTGAAAAACCAAAGTTATAAAAATTGCTTAACAGAGTTTTGAAATTTTTGATGTATCACTACATATTTCCTCAATGTGGTGCTACCAAATTTATAACGAATATATAAGCTAAACAAACAATTCTTTGTTTTCCTTCCATCGAGACATTAAGATTACATAGTACATATCTAAACTGTGTTACATATGATAAAATGAGTAATTACATTGTCTAATGTCTCGCGTCTCTTGGACAACTACGACCTATTGACTTGACAAAGAGAAGTCATCTCAATTTTTTCACCGGAAAACAGGAAAAACAAGAAAGCCAGCTACCACCATTCCCCGGTTTCGGATCATTCGGGTACAAACCGGGCTTCAGGTCGTGCCTTGATATCTCCGTTTTACGATTTTCACTCTTCACTTTAAGTGATATCTTTCGATCTTGCTGGTACTCTGGTAATCTACAGAATCATAAAGACAACAAATTAAAACTAAAACCAAGAGAGCTCCAACTAAAAAAAACCGATTTGGTCTAACCAATCGAATTCTAATTAAGTAAACCGGTTTGCAAGATTGGACAACGACTTACGTGGGAAATGCGAAAGAAGCTGCGCTGTTATTACTTGTGTCGGAACGATAAGACTTGGTCGGAGTTAACGGAATTTGTTGTGGTGGATCCGGTTTAGATACATTGGTTAAGACATCTCGATTACCAGCTTTTGGTCCGGTTTCATCTACGTGGATTTTGACTTCTTTTGTTCCAGCATCGGTCAGAGTGATTTTGTTATCAATATTGTTGTTGTTGCTGCTGCCAATATACGAACCACCAGTATATTCGAAATTGGAGAGTTCTCCAGATTTATACATTTTGGAGAAACTTTGATCTCCCATGTGAATACTGAACAAAGATTCGTTCGATTGCATACTCCATTCTTGTTTAGGAGTCATTGTGGTTGCGAAAACCGACGGTGGAATCCGATCTGGTTCATAGCCTGGTTTAGTTTCCTGGTCCATTATTGTATCTGTCTCCAAAGAAAATTTGTAAAAAGAAATGATTAGAGATCAATGTGTGTAATTAGATTTTGTTTTCAAAAAATTGGATATTTGTAACCAAAACAAGAGCACATAACCTTTGATCAAGCTCTTCAAGAGCCAAAAGGTTGAAAAGAACAATTTCTTTCGTTTTTTTAAATGTGTAGAAAATAAATTGAATCTGTGTCGTCATTAATAATGACTTGTTTTTCGTTGGATAACAACCGTAATTAACTTAACTAACTAATCTCCATTAGAGACAATTATAAAGAACAGAACGTTTGGACTTCAGTTATAAGTTATAACAGTATTTGTCATCCTTGATAATGACCACATTAGAGAGTTAATTGTAAAGATAAAACGTTTGGACTTCAGTTATAAGTTATAACCAAAAATTTGTTTGTTGATGAATTGTGACAGATCCAAAGGCTTAGAGCCTAATTCGGGGCTGTTAATATTTCATAACAGAAAATGTTTCCAAAAACCACATGTAAACGTTATGGTTGCTTACTTGCTTATATTCGACGCCAATCATATAGACCAACTTAAATGGTTTTAATTTATTGCATAATCTTCTTTATTTAATAAAACATCGTTTGTTATAAAAAAAAACCAGATAAATCATTTTTTTCCTGAAAAAAGTTTCAAATCGTTTAAAGTTAAAATATCATTTTCTCATGTGTTTTACGGTCCTAGATAACAGCTTACAAAATATCTTCTTTTTCACAAATTTATCCGTAACACAAAATAATAATAGGGAGAATTGTTTTTATAATGTCAACTGAATTAACATTTGTCTTCTTAATATTTTCTAAATAAAATTTGTCCCTTTAATGTTTAATTTAAATTTAATCCAATTATCTCTATTATTTACAAATTAATAAATTAATTAATTTTTTAAATAATGTTTTATTAATAAAAAATCAAGTAAAAAAGAATTTCTACTAAAGCATAAAAAAACCTTTTAGCATATTTTTCTGCATCAGCCACAAAATTCTACTTCTTATCTGTCCCTGATTTTCATGAAACATAAGTAACATAGATATATAGCATGTTTGAAGCAGAAGATGTGTAAACTTAAAAAAAATCTGCTTGATCAATGTGAAAGAAGAAGAAGAGAACGATGACAGCCAAAAAAAGAAAAGAAAACGTCAAAAACTGATTAAAAAAATGTTGAAAAAAAAATGAAGATTTTCGAAATTTTTAAATCGGAGAGTTAACTAATTTTCCCATATTTTTTCAAATTTTGGTAGAAGATGTATTCTATGTTAATGTAGAATGAAGTCAATAGGTAGAAGAACCGTTCTACAATAACGTATAACCTGGTCTAATAGGCAAAAGATATATTCTACCAACATGTAGAATATAGTTTATCCAGTAGAACTTGTAATCTACCGCAATATAGAATATATAAAGACCTATAGAAAACTACTTCTACGGGCTGGTAAAATACGTGAAGAACTATAGAAATAAGATTTTATGAACATAAAACATGCATTCTATCAAGCATAGAATAAATTTTTAAAATATTTTAAAAATATTTTTTTCATAAATGATATCTGAAAATATTTTTAATTCCTTTTTAGGTATTTTCAAAAAATTTAAAATATAGTCTCAAATTTATTTTTAATTATAACTGCCCTAACTGATTTAAAAGGGCAACGATGTCAAAAAATGACAAAAATATAGAAAACATTAAGGGGACAAATGTTAATTCAATTGACATTATAAAAGCAATTATTCCATAATATTCTTAGCAAAACTCCATTCAAGAAAGCTTTATCATCTTTTCTCAAATATTATCATAACAAAACTTTATATATATATATATATATATGTATAGATAAAGGAAATGTTTTTCAGTTGAACCCAAAAAAAAAACAAATGTTTTCATATATCTTATCAGCCTGGTATGATTTATTTGTTCAACTGGAAAAAACAAAAAACAAAAAAAAAACAAAAAACAAAAAAAACAAAAAACAAAAAACAAACAAACAAGAGGCTAAGCGGGACAACTACAATTGGACCTATTTAAGTCATCAATGGCCCAGTAAAGATATATGGGTCTCATTGGAAATTATAAGAAAAAAACTGTTGGTGTATGCTCCTCGTAATATTATCTTATCTACAAGAAGCTTACATGCTACTAAAATACAAAAAATAAAAAAGTGTTGTAGTAATTTTGCCAAGAAATCAAAATGGAGATATCGCTGCAGAAGCAGATTTTCAATAACGGAGATAAGCTCTTCAAATGTAAGCTCTTAACACTTTTCTTCGTGCCCTAGAGATATGTTTTCTTACACTAGCCAAATGAATTTTAATTTGTCGGTTTTTTTTATCTTCTGCTTTCAGCTCAACAAAACCGACGGGTTTGGATAAAACAATTCCAAGTAACAGATTCTCTTCTCGAAAACTCAGCAAATCTGTTTCTTAATCCTATAAGTTATCCAATGTTGTCCAGTATCACTACAAGAATGAGCAAAAACCATACAAGAGTAAGTGTTGGTTAACTGCATTTTGATAGAAATTTATGTATATTCAAATTTTCAACAAAAAAAAGTGTTTATGATTTGATTGGTAACAAAAAACTTAGAATGGGATAGAGAAAAAATGAAAATGTCTTGATGATGTCTAAGTATTCCAATATAATTAGACGGATGTGATTATGTAACTTAGGTTTGTGCAATAAGGAGAAGAAGAGTGCATTCGAACTCAGATACATATGTACTATTAGAAGCAGGACAAGATGAACAGTTTGTGTCGGAAGACGAGCTCAAGGCTAAGCTCAAAGGCTGGCTCGAGAACTGGCCCGCAGAGTCTTTGCCACCAGACCTGGCTAGGTTTGATGACCTCGATGAAGCTGTTGATTTCTTGGTTAAAGCTGTATGTGAACTTGAGATTTATGGAGAAGTAGGTTCTGTTCAATGGTATCAAGTCCGTCTTGAGTAATTGAATTAGATAAAGTAATGTGTTTTTCTTGTGTTATGAGCACATGGTTTTACGTTAGTAATTTGTTTCGTTCTTTAATACGTAATTGCCATTTGCCAACTATGGTTGTTTATATTCCCATTCTTTTTTCCAAAAGTGATTGCCAACAAAACATAAAATGGAAGATTATTATATGAATGGTTATATTATTTTTTCCTCTTATATGAATGGTTATATTTTACTGTAGATTCTAAATTATGACGATTTTTTAAATTTGATCGAGAGATTTGATTCGTTCTACGTAATTTCCATTTGCCAACTATGGTTGTTTTAATTCCCCTTCTCTTTTTCCAAAAGTGATTGCAAACAAAACAGACCCATGGAGATGTTTCCTGTATTAGTGGTTATATTTTTTTATTATAGATAAGAGATTTTGTAAACCATAAAGAGTTAGAGTTTGGGCAAAGTTCTATTAGTGAATAACCGAAAAGATTTCCGGCGAAACGTAGAGTTCCATTTCGAATTCGAACTCGTAAAATTGCATGTGTTATATGTTCTTGTGTCTTCGTCGTTGACAAACGAGATAACTTGAAATAGAGATAGTAGAATAAATGATTTGGTTATCTCGAAATCAAAACGACGATCATATCTTTCTTATTTCTAAGTTCTAGATCTCACAAGTTACTTTATGCAACAGATGAACCTAACTATCTATAAATAACTAAATTTAATATGTGGTACAAGCGAACGGCATATGGTTTAACGAAGTACTGAAATATTTACTATACTATAGAGAGCACCTCCTCATAGAATATCTCACAGAATATCTCACATTAAAAAAAATAAAAAATAGATAAAATAGTTTCTTTAAACAAAAACGTTGAGAAACAATTCTTAAATAAGATACTTTGAGAATCCCAAAAAAAAAATCTCTTGCATGAGACATATGCCTCTCTATAAATGGTTCAAACTTCTTTTGTAACAAATCAAATACCCAATATATCACAATATTAATTAAATAGTCTGTATATTGTTATTTTTTATAAATCATAAAATAATCATGTATATATTAAAACTAGGTGGGGACCCGCGCGATGCGCGGGGTTGCAAGGTCTATGAAGCTGAGAACTTAATTTTTTTTTATAATATCAAAACGCTAATGTATTGTAAAAACTTTTAATTTTGGAAGAGCATTCATAGTCATAAAATTGGTTAGTTGAATAATTGTATTTTTTTAAAAATTCATTAATTCTGCAAACATCATTATTATTTTGTATTCTATTTGTTTTATGTTTGATTCTCGACAATGAGGACAATCATTAATAGCAAAAGGATAAGTAAACTAAAATATCATTTAATAAATAATTAAATAAACCATTTAAATTGTAAAATTCTAAATCTTAAAAAAAAACTATTGTTTCCTTACATTCTGAAATACGGCCTTGTATACAATGTTCAAAATCTTGGTTTGTGGCTGACCCATTGTATCCGTTATCAGAATTTTCAAATCAGCTCTTGAAGTAACACGACATATAGCCACATAAAGTTGTCCATGGGAAAATACTGGTTTTGGTAAATACAGGCCAACCTTTTGGAAAGTCTGTCCTTGACTTTTATTGATAGTCATTGCATAGGCGATAGCTACCGGAAATTGTCTACGCCTCATTCTAAAAGGAAATCTTGTCTCTGTGGGGGAAACAAACATTTGTGGGATCAAGACCTTTTGACCAATATATTCTCCAGTTATGTGGCTAGCTTGAATAACATGTTTGGCCAACTGTGTTACCAAGAGTCTTGTTCCATTGCATAAACCACCTCTAGGGTCAATATTCCGAAGCAACATAATAGGTGTCCCTATTTTCAATTGCAATTCATAGTTTGGCAATCCTGAGATCTTAATACTATTAAGATATTCCTGTGTGTAAACTTTCTCGTCAATCTTGCCCTTATCAGAAGTATCGATGCTGTCCGAACTTAAATACTGTATGTATGTTCCTCAGCTAAAAAAATGTTTTACGAAGTTCAGTTGATCGCATTATGAAGCTAATGTGTAAGATCGTATGTATAAAGCGTTAAATATGTTTACTTTTTATTTCTGACAACATGTATTCGTTTACGAGATCGTTTTTTGTCACATCTTCTTCTTGTTTTCTGTTTTCCTCATCTTCTTCCTATTTTACGTCTTCTTCTTCTTTTTCATCGCCTTTGTCTTCTTCGTTCTCTCCGACTTTATTTTCTTCTTATTTTTCGTCATTTATTTACATCAATCAAATATATGTACTTGAAAACTTTAACTATTTTTCTCTCCTCATCCATGTGTCCATCCCTCTTTCAATATTTATCTCTCATTCTCTCATTTCCCCCTCGTATCATATGATTTAGATAACTACATTTAAAATAAGAAGTATTTCGAAAATAAAAAATAGGAACACAAAAAATATGAGCTAACATAGATTGAATATCATGTACCTATAAGGTTAACTCTCTCTACCATTTCTCTTTCTCTCTCTTTCTCCCTCTCTCTCTCTCTCTCTCTCTATTTCTCTCCCTCACACTCTCTCTCTCCATCGACATATCCCTGAAAGCTTTAACTCAATTTCTCTCTGTCCCCCCTTTCTCCAAATTCATCACCCATTCCCCCTTCCTATTCTTAATATTTTTCGTCATGTCATAGTTTTTCTTATTATGATTTTTTTTTTGCTTTTTTCGGTCTTCTTCTTCGTCTTTTCCTTCTTCTTTATCATCGACGTCAATTTTCTTATTCCTTATCTTTTCTTTCCTCTTCTTCATCGTCTACAACTTCTATTTCATTTCTCTCTCCTGATTTGTCTTCTTGTTCTTCTTCCTCTTTTGTTTTGTTCTACTCTTCTTCCTATTCTTTATCTTTTGGTTTAGTTCTTCTTTGTATTTTTCTTATTCTTTTTCAGTTTTTTTTCGTCTTCTTCTTCAATCTCCAATTTAAGGATTTTGCCTTCTTTTTCGGCCCCAATTTATTCATCTTATTTTCCTCATATTTTCCTTTTTCTTCTTCATCATCTTTGACTTGTACTTTTTTTTTCTTGATCTTCTTTTTCTCATATTTTCCTTCTTCTTCTTCTTCATCGTATTTGACTTGTACTTTTTTTTCTTCTTCCTCTTATATATCTTTCGATTTTCTTATTCCTCACCCTATTCTTTCATCTTCATCATTGTCTTTGACTTCTGCTTCATCATCTTTGTATTTTCTCAGTTCTTCTTCTTTTTAAATTTTTATTAGCCTTCTTTATTCTCTACTTCTTATTCCTCTTTGGTCTTCATCAAACTCTTCTTCTTCTGGTTTTTCTTGATCTCTTTCTCATCCTCACCTACTTCATTTTCTCATTTCTTCTTCTTTTATTTTGTTTTCTTCCGGTTTCCTTCTTTAACTAAAACATCCTTTTTTTTATATCCTTTTTCTTCTTCACTATTTCGTGTTCTCATATGCTTTTTTTATTCTCAATGGTTTTATTCAAATTCATCTTTTTTTTTAGTTTTTATCATTAACTACATCTTCTTCTTTATACTTATACTTCTAAGTTATAAGAATTATAGGTGAATAAAAGTAAGAGCAATATATATGATTTATTAGGAAAACTATTTGTATATCTTTTTTAACAATAAATAACAATTATGAATGGCTTAAAATAAGAACAATATATAAATTATTAGTAGCAAAAACTAATTAGGAATCTGTTTAATTGTTTATTTTTACTGATGGTAACAAAATTTATAAAGTACATTAGGGAAAACAATTAAAATCCAAACACAACAAAAAATCAAAGAAAATTGTTAAAATAAGATAATTAAGGAAAATTAATCAAGGACAATGCAAGGAATTGACGAAACTTATACTAAAAAACATTGAATGGATCGACCAAACATAAAAAGGATTCATCATAGAAGCTGC